GTATGAGCGTATGAGCGTATGAGCGTATGATCGTATGTGCGTATGAGTGTATGAGCGGCTGCGTAGGAGGACGCTGTGGATTGGGTCGGGTCGGGTCGGGCGGGAGAGCGAGGGAGCGAGGGAGCGAGCTTTTCGATTTATGGACGGCAGCGTCAGGGTCCAGTCACTTTAGGGTCGGCCGGCTTTGCCGAACCGAAAAAGCGGCTCGAGCGCGGACCTTGTCGCTCTAACAATCGGCAAATTTGCGCCGCCCAAATTGATCGAAGCCGCATGATGAGCTGGAAGAAAAGGAAAGAAGAGGGAGAGAGAGAGGGCGGGGCAGGGCGGTGCAGGGCGGGGCGGCGCGGTGGTCGGCCAATCCGCTGCCGAAAGCCAGAGAGAGTTGTTGGTCTCGGCCCAAGGCACACACACCGGCGCGCCCCACGGCCGCCTTGGCACGGCCAGACCCTCACACGCCTCAGGGCAGCCGCTCAAGGCCCAACGCTTGGCCCCCGCTCCCTCCAACCTTCTCTTGCTCATCCCCATCCCCATCCCCATCCTCATCCTCGTCAGGACCGATCGACTTGGTAAGTCGTCACCACTTCCCGTCTGCCTGCTCAGTACTCGCGCTGACCAACCGCCCATCCTCGACACTCGCAGCTTCCTCTTCCAGGCCGGCAAGCTCATCTTCCACTCTCCACCAACGCTCCTTGGTCTCAAGACACTTGCCAGGCGTATCGCTCGCTCGATCGCTCTTGCGTTAGCGTCCACCCGGTTCTGCCGTCTTTGGTTTCATTCGTCGCTGTCGCCGTCCTCTGCCCCTCCTTGCTCCTGTCAACATGGTCTCCGCCTCCGATCTCATGAGGCAGCACCAGGCCCAGCTCGCCCAGGCCAACGCTGCCGCTGAGCTGCCTCCCATGGCCGATCCCTTCCCGTCGCTCCTCAGCGACCCCTTCCCGCCCCAACAGTCTCAGCAGCCTGCTGCTGCTGCTGCTGCCGCCGTCGCTCCCGCTTCTGACGCCGCCGCCGCCAACGGCGCCAACTCCAACGGCGCCCGCGCCAACTCCCGCTCCAAGCAGCCCGACCTCGCCTCCGAAGCCGCCTTCCCTTCGCTCGGCGCTGCTGCCAACCCGGCCAAGGGTCAGTGGGGCGCAAAGGGCGCCGCTCCCGTCTCCACCTGGGCCGGCTCCGCCCCCGTCATCCAGCGCGCCATCGCCCAGCAGTCCTTCTCGCTCTCGCTCTCGCACGAATCCGTCACCAAACTCTCCACCGTCATGTCCAAGGTGCAGAACAAGTACCGCGGCGTCAAGATCGAGGCCTCCACCACCCGCAAGACCGGCACCACCACCTTCGTCCTCAAGGCCGCAGACGAGGCCGCCATCAAGAGCGCAAAGCGCGAGATCACCGTCCTCCTCGCAAAGCACGTCTCCACCCACATCATGATCCCCGCCTCCCTCCGCGCCTTTGTCATCGGCACCAAAGGCAAGAACCTCAAGGCCATCACCGACAGCACCGGCGTCAAGGTCACCATCCCGCCCCGCGACCCCAACGCAGACAACGACACCGCCAACGCCGCCGCCGCCTCCGCCAACATCGACTACGAGAACGACGAGCAGATCGCCGTCTCCCTCGAGGGCGACGAGATCAACGTCAAGCAGGCCCAAGCCATGATCCAGGCCATCGTCGCAGAGCGCACCTCCAAGATCACCCAGCGCCTCACCCACATCGACCCCGTCTTCTACCCCTTCATCGCCGGCCCCAAGGGCGCCAACGTCGCAAAGCTCGAGAGCAACGCCGGCAACACCGACATCTCCGTCCGCGTCCCTCCTCGCGCCGCCTTCCTCCACGCCAAGGACGCCCAGGACGACGACGCAGCCGCAGAGCCCAAGCGCGAACGCGACCTCGCCATCATCGTCTCGGGCGACCGCGAAAAGGTCAACGCCACCGTCGCCGCCATCGACGCCCAGGTCGACGCCATGAAGAGCTCCTTCCGCACCCTCGCCATCAGCATCCCCAAGCGCCAGCATCGCTTCCTCGTCGGCGACGCCGCAAACGACATCCTCGCCGCAACCTCTTGCAGCGTCGAACTCGCCGCCATCGACGACCCTTCCGACAGCGTCACCATCCGCGGCCCCCAGACCCAGCTCCCCATGGCCCTCACCGCCGCCATGGAAAAGGCCAACGCCGTCCGCGTCGAAGTCGTCGACGTCGTCGCCGCCCACCGTCAGCTCACCCAGGACCCCGTCAGCCACGCCAAGCACATCCTCCGATGGCTCAACGTCGGCGCCAAGATCCCGCGCAGCTCCACCGCCCAGATCTACCTTCCGCGTCCCGCCATCGTCGAGTCCACCGGCAACGTCCAGATCGAGATCGTCGGCTCCGACCCCGCAGAGGTCTCCAAGCTCCGCGAGTCCGTCTCGGAACTCGTCAAGGCCGTCCCACCCGCCTTTGTCGAGCAGATCGACGTCGACCCGCTCCTCCACCGCTTCATCATCGGCAAAAAGGGTCAGGGTCTCAAGCAGTACGAGGCTCGAGGCGTCGACGTCCTCTTCCCTCCCGCCTCGGCCAGCGCCGACGGCGACTCGCGCTCCGACGTCCTCCTCGTCCTCGGCGGCTCCTCCGTCGTCGCCGCCTTGCCAGCAGATCGAAAGGCTCGCGAAGCCAAGGCCCGCGACATCCTCGCCTCGGTCAAGGACGACATTCAAAAGGCCCAGGTCGCCGCCGCCGACATCCGCAGCGAGACCCTCACCGTCCCTGCCAAGCTGCACCGAGCCATCCTCGGCCCCAACGGCACCACCCTCAACGCCGTCATCGGCGAAGAGAGGCTCGTCGCCGTCCGTCTCGGCTCCAGCAAGGCTTCCGCTTCCGCCGACAAGCCGGGCTCGAGCCTCTCCGAGGACTCGATCCTCGTCCGCGGCCCCAGTTCCGAGGTCGATCGTGTCGTCAAGGAGCTCAACCGCATCGCCGCCGAAGCCGAGCAGGACAGCATCGTCAACGGCCACGTCGCCCAGTTCTCGGTCGACGCCAACCACGTGCCTCACCTCGTCGGTCGCGGCGGCTCCGCCATCACCAAGCTTCGGGAGGAGCTTGGCGTCCGCATCGACTTTGACGAACCTGCCGGTGCCGACGCTCCAGACGCTCTCAAGAAGGGCAAGAAGGCCGCAGCCACCAAAAAGGTCGTCCTCACCGGTCGCAAGGAGAACGTCGAGGAGGCCAAGAGGCGTCTGCAGACCCAGGTCGAGAGGCTCGCCGACGAGACCAGCGTCACGCTCAAGATCCCCCAGGAGATGCACGGCAGCTTCATCGGCCAGGGCGGCAAGTACGTCACCCGTCTCCAGGACACCTATGCCGTCCGCATCAACTTCCCCAACGCCAACGCCCAGTCCAGCGGCCAGTCCACCCCCACCGACAATGCCGACGACAAGGCCGCTGGCGCACGTGCCAGCCAGAAGCCCGACGAGGTCATCATCAAGGGCGGCAGAAAGGGAGTCGAGGGCGCCAAGGCCGAACTGCTCGAGCTGCTCGAGTACGAAAAGGAGAACAACAACGTCTCCATCCTCAACGTCTCGACCAAGTCCGTCGCCCGCATTATGGGCAAGGGTGGCGCTACCATCAAGCAGATCCGAGACGATAGCGAGGCACAGGTCGACGTCGACCGTCAGGACAACGAGAAGGACGGAACTACGCCGATCAAGATCCGCGGCACCAAGAAGGCCTTGGCAGCCGCACGCAAGGCCATCGAGGCCATCGCCTCCGAGGTCGACGCCGAAGAGGTCTACACGTTGACCATTGCTCCCGAGCACCACGGCATCCTCATCGGACCTCAGGGATCCAACATCCGCGACCTCATCATCAAGGCCGGCGGACCCGAGGATGCCAAGGCCTCGTCCCAGTACGTGCAGTTCCCACGAAAGAACGACAAGGACACGTCCACCGTCACCATTCGTGGTCCTGCCGCATTGGCCAAGGCCATCCGCGACGAACTCAAGAGCGCCTCCGATGAGCTTGCCTCGCGCGTCGTCTACGGCGTCGTCGTGGCGCCTCAGGCACAGAGGATGCTCATCGGGCGCGGCGGCTCGAGGCAGTCCGAGCTTCAGACCCAGTACTCTGTCCGCCTCGTCTTCCCCGGCTGGAAGGAGTACGCCTCCACTGGCGAGCCTGTCAACAAGGCCGAGCTCACCGGCGGCGATGATGCCACCATCGTCAAGATTGTCGGAGCCGAGGACAGATGCCAGGCTCTGGCCGAGGAGATCAAGTCGAGCTTTGCCTCGGCCTCCAAGTCGATCGACGTTCCGCGAGGCGTCCATGCCCGCATCGCCACGCCGCAGTTCTTCCGGCAGCTGCGCTCCGACTTTGGCGTCTCGGTGGACACGCCCAAGGGCTCGGCCTCGGCCTCGACTTCGGCACCTTCTGCCAAGAATGGCGCCAAGGCGGCTGCCAGCGCGCGCATCGACGACGTCGACGACGAGGATGACGCCGAGAACGAGTTCGAGCTCGAGGAGCTCAGCTCGGCCTCGGCAAGCGACTCGGTGACCTGGACCCTGACCGGCAAGGATGAAGCTGCTCTGCAGAAGGCAGAGAAGCGCATCCAGACCTCGATCAAGGAGGCGGGCAACGCGTCGCATCAGGGCAAGCTCTGGGTGACGCCCTCGGCAGTGCCTCGTATCATCGGCCGCGGAGGAAGCGGTCTGATGAACATTCAAAAGGAGTCGGGCGCCGCCATCGAGATCCCGCGCGACTCGGGCGGACTCTGCATCATCCGTGGCTCCAAGGATGCCGTGATGCATGCCAAGGAGCTCATCGAGAACGCCGCCTCGTCCAGCGGACGTGCTTGATGCCGCTCGGACGCAGGCTGCCAGCTCCAGATTCACCGATCCTGACCCTTGAAAAAAGCATTAGCTCAATCACACGACACACTTTCTTTCTCTCGTACATCATGCTCCTTCGACGTGCTGGCTCGTCGCAATGTTATCTTCACCGCATCTGTGGACGCGTCGTGTGAGAGCGCGGGCATAGGGCTGGAGCAACGCGAGACGGGGCAGAGGCCGACTCGACGTGCGGTTCAATCCCGATGAGATCTGCCAGCGAACCGATTGCGAGTTTTGGGGCGGAAGGCATCGGGATCGAGGTCAAACTCGCGCAAAAGGGCGGAGCTGGGTCGGTAGCCCTGCTCGGACATGTTGGACAGCACGAGCTCCCAGCGATGGTCGTCTTGTGCGAAACACTTGCGTGCCAAGGCTTCGTAGCTCTTGCGGCTTGGAACAATGTCTCTCTCCTTGGCCTCCTCGATAAAACCGAATGCATCTTCGTAGTTCTTTTGCGTCAAGCACAGCATGATCATGCGTTCAAACGTGACCTCGTTCGGCTTGAGCTTGAGCGCGTTGAGATCCTTGAGCATGACTACGCCCGTCTCGTAGTCGGCAATGTCGATGCATCCACTGAGCAGTACGTTGAACGTGTCCCTGGTTGGGGTGATCTTGTTGGGAGATCGATTTCCTCCCTTGACATTCGCAGGATCACGAGGAATGACTTGATACGTGGGGAGCGCACGGTAGATCTCGAGCGCCTGGGCGAGGTCGCCGAGCCACACGGCTGCGCTGATGACGGCGTTGACAATGTCGATGTGGGTGCCGATGGCCTTGTCTGCGGCCGTTTTGGTCAACGCCTGCACGGCGAGCTGCAAAGCCGATTTGTCGGGGAAGATGGAAGTGCTGATCCTCGAGGTGGAGCGGTTGGTGATGGCGAAGCCGCGACGGAAGAGGCCGGAAAGCGTGTTCATGGCGCCTTCATAGTCGCGCGCGCTGCACTGAGCTTCGAAGAGTGGCGCCAGATGCCATTCCTGCAAGTCCAGACCACTTGACGGCCTTTGCGATGACGAAGCCTCGGTGGGGCTCGATGATGGTTGAGTGTAGGAAGGATCGATGTGTGCGAGGCAATTTCGGGCCATCTGAACGCATCCTTCCTTTGCCGAGAGGGCAAGGATGAGCTGAAGGAGACCGTCGTCCGGTGTTTGCAAGCCTCGTACGACTGCCTTGGACCATGCGAGCTCCACACCGGGTAGGTATCCTCCTTCGGCGCAAGCGCGCAGGATCGACATCCAGATGCTGGGCGGAAAGCGACGTGCGACTTGACCTGGGCTGGTGCCCGAGCCAGGGGGATTGGTGATTCTCGATGCGGACTTTTCGGCCGACCTGGTGACATCATGGCGATGGACCAGACCGCCTTGCTCCATGAGATCTGCGAGCTCGACGGCGGCACGATGCTCTTCGGAATGGAGAAAGAGGGTGATGGCATGGGTGAGTGCCCGGTGGGGCAGGGTGAAGCCCAGACGATAGCAGCTGGAGAGCATGAGGGATGCCATCTCGAGATTGTGATCCTGGCAGGCGCTTTCGAGCAGATGCGCAAACGTCGTAGCGTTCCAATTCTGCATGTAGTCGAGTGGCATCTCCATCGCGGTAGTCTGGCCTGGCCTGGACATGTCTGGCTTGGCGTTGAAGAGGAGGTTGGCGAGCTTGGATGATCTCTCAGCCTGCGGAGCGGAGGCAGGAGGTGGCAAGTTGCGGATGCGGTCGAGGATGTCATCGATGGCTTCCCTTCGGGCCGAGATGACGGCAGCTTCGAGCAGATGATTGAGCGAGTCGATGCATTCTGAGAAGCCGAATGAGCACATGTCGTCACTGACCGCCTGCACTTCCTGGAGAAGACCGTGGGGCGCAAGTGCGCGCATGATGGCAAGGAAGACGATCCTTTCGCTCGGGTCGAATTCTACCTGTCCCGACGGAGCGCACAGCTCCTCCTTTCTTCGCTTGATGAGGAGAGCTAGCTTGGCAGCGTGGACTGCGTCCTTGCTCTCCGCAGCTCTGGCAAGCTGAGTGTAGATATGCTTGAGCTCGGGGTCGGTGGAGACATTGCGAAGGATGTAGGAGTCGCTCGTCGTGCGTCTCTGCGACTGCTTGGCTTGATCGTCGTCTTGTCCGAGGCCGCGCCGCGCAGAGTGCTGAAACAGCTGTGGCGCATTCGGCCGCAGGCGTTGCGCCGCCCGAGAGGCGGGATAGATGGAAGTCTGGGATGCCTGATGCGAGCTCTCATCATCGTGGAATCTGCTGCCGCTTCTCCTGTCGTAATTCCTCCCTGCCCTTGTAGCTGGTTGTGTAGCAAGGGCCCGTGCTGCTGAGTGTCTTGCGCCGTTCGCGAGATGGAGGCAGGATGCATTCTGCCGGGTAGCGCTCCGAAGAGCAAGCAAGTGCGTGAAGAATGTACGCTCCACTCTTGGCGCCATCATCGTCATGGCTGCACTCGAGCGCTATGAGCTCCAGATTAGTGCTCGGTGCTCGGTGCTCGGTGCTCGTGCTCGTGCTCGTGCTCGTGTGCGTCGAGGCGGAAGCTGTGAAGCGTGGGATGGGCGAGAAGAGGGGAAGACCATTCCGAACGTTCTCCGCAATCCTCGTCCGCGCGAAAATCTTGCGAACCCTGGCCGCGATCCGAGTTCCGAATGCCGGATCCTGTCGAGGGAGATGTTAGATCCAGGGCATCGCCGTGCAAGCCTCGAACGGCTCCATCGACCTCCCCTGTTGGGGACGTCATCGTGCTTTGCGGCAAACACGGCCCGGCAGGGCCTTGTCGCCGTCCTGTACCCTCTGCCTTCTCGTTTCCATGCGTTCCTGAGACAAGAAAGTACCATTCGCCGATGGTCGCGGACGGAATTCTGCTTCCCGTCCAGCAATTCGAGTCCATTCGCCGACGGATACCCAGCAGCAGAAGGTTGCACAAGGCGCTCCCGGCTTTGGGCTTGACATATCCCGCTGCATCTATGCAACGAGGCTGAGCCTAATCCCCGAGACGCCGCATGGTCGCCGAAGGAGACGCCAGAGAGTCTTGGTCGAAGAGCTCGTCCACCTTCACTTGGAGAATGGACGATGCATGCATCGTGGTGATCGACCAACCATAATGTGGTTGCGGTGCCTAGCCACCTTTGACGGCCTTGAGCATTTCCCGCCGGGTCCAAACGTGCTCAGATGTGGCATGCCCTCTCATCTCAACCTGAGGATCGAACGAGGCGACCAGCTGGGCTGTCTTCTACAGTGGTCGAACGCAATCTTCGCGGAGCAGCATCCTGCCCGACCCTCGGAGGACCATCACCGGGAGTGCTTGCTGTGGCTTGAGAAGAACGGTCTTTGTCATCGTTTCACCGTCGCGGCGTGACTCCATACGACAGTGTGGGCCCCGGAGAATTTCTGACGCATGCCGACGGAACGTACAGGTCAGGATTTCAAGCAGCTCTGCCAGCATCAGGCACATCACAGACGAAAGTCGCGGCAGCACAGCCGTCGCCGAGGACGTATGGGGATAAAGCCATGTGGCAATGCAGCAAACGGTTCGCTTCAAGCCTCGTGGCGCGAGGATGCTCCACTCTGATTGGCAGCGAAGCTTCCCTGGCCGCTGTGTCCGAGCCTTGCCGACTCGAAAGAGGCACGCTAGACGAGGTCAGGTGTCCTCGGCACAGCGCTTCCGGACGGGGGTTGCTTGTCTTGGCCATCTCCATATGATCCAAGTCGGGTGTGCAAAGTTTTCGTCTACCTGCCCGATGCTGCCCAGTCTCTCTCTGTCGCAACCAGCCTCGCCGGCTAGCCAAACCAGATTCTCGGATGCGTTGCCGGGATGGGCCTGCAGCTACGGCCTGCATCACCAGCCACGTTGGACGCTTCTTTGCAAAGACATATATTGGCATTCGGCGGCTTTTCTGGGGCGCTTGGCGACTGGCACAGCGACATTGTTTCGCAGCCCCCAATCTAGTGAATGCCAAACTGTCTGGGATGCAACACAAAAAGTTGCCGCGCCATTTGTTTGGGAACACAGCCAGTGGATCCGAGCGGAGTTGCAACTGGTCCAAATCGCCGACGGGAACTGCCAACGGGATCTAAGGAAGATCCCAAGCGGGACTTCAACGCCGATCTTCAAGGTCGACGTCATGATCCCATCCTCTTTTCCCGCTTGCAAGCAGAGGACGCCATGACACACTGCAAGCACGGCACCACTCTAGGTACGCTCAGGCCTAGTCCTACCGTCGCACATTGTATCGTGACCAGTGCAGCGCTCTCCAGTTGCTGCGCAGCAGCCACACCACGATCGTCCGCGGCGGCTCGTGGTTTCGAGAGTGAGCAGCAACGAGGTGGGGCCGACCCACGCGCGTCCTCTAGCCGACATGACTCCTCGTGCCGAGCTAAACGTGGCTCTCTCCATGCGACTGACCCAGCCTCCCGCGATGCGAATGTCGTTCTCTGCGCTTATCAAGCCGATTTGGGTCTCTTAGGAAGTCGGCGGGAGAAGGCTGTGCTGCTGACCCTGCTATGCCGTAGGGCATTGCCGATATCACCGCATACCCTCTGCGTTGTGCCGCTGCCCGGTGGGTGGCCGACGGCGGCCACGAAGGCCGGCAGATGCAGAACGCCCAATCGACACGGAGAGAAAGATGCCGAGAGGGCCGAGTAAAGGCGAAGGCGCCGAGGGTTCCGTCTTTGGCGCCCTCTTTCGAACCACAATTCGAAGTCAGACAAACCCAAGGTCGCAGCTCATGTCAAGCCACAGACGCCTTCATCGGCGACGTAAAACCCTGTGGGAATAGGCGGCTGTGCGGTAAGGCTGATTCACAGGATGCTGCAGGTGTCCCAATGGAAGGTACAACCGCGGGGATTGCCTTGTCGGAGATACGGAAGTGCTTCCGGCGCGCTCGTCGTTCGGCAAAAAGGGACAATGGCAAGCGAGGACCCCAAGCGGCCAAGTTTCTTCGCCACGAGGGCCTGCACTATGATTGCATTCAAGTTTTGTCCGCCGGACGCCCAGCCTCGAGCTCTGTGGTACAGAAGGCCGGTGCCTCGACGGTGCAGTTCGCGTTCCCAACGTAGATCGGCGGCTAGCTCAGAGCATCGCTGCCGGTCTTGTCGTCATCCGCCGCGGCGCCCCAGCAAAATACGGCATGTAGAGTCCGAGTCTCCTCCACACGAGCTCTGAGGCATTAGGTCACCCAACGTCGGCCTGCGTGTCGCTCTCTGTCTCGCTTGGATGGCCGTGTTCCCTCAAAGAAGCTGGTGCCGAACAGCACGACCCTCTCGCCAGCTCAAGCGAGAATTCGCCGCTAGGCACTTCGACGCCTCATCCGTATCCATGCGCCCAACTCGTCATGCAACCCCAGCGGCGGCCACGTACCCGCAGAACCACCCTCGCCAGAGCCGCGTGCTCCGACATGCGTATACCCGGCTTCTGTCGTGCCGCTGTTGCAGAAGAGCGCTTCTTCATACTTGAGCCGTGCAACATCCGTGGACCTAGCGTTCGAACCCACAACCTTCTCGGCAGTAGAGCCGTCGTCGGCCACGCCGCAATGGCCGGCGCGCGAT